AAACTACAAGGTTCTAAAATTTGAAAGTTCGAAGATTTGAAAATTTCAAACTTTGAAAGTTCGACATATGAATCCAATAAAAACCCTATGAGAATCTTTAAAACATCGAATTGCCACAGAAGTGAAAACAAATAATCATCAACCGATTGAGAAACTCATATTCGTATGTCATCATAACGCAGTAATAACAGAAAGCTGTAGAAGAAATATTAAAAGTATGCCAAAGACTTGTTTAACCAATTACACATCCATGACTCAACACAGATATTCATATTTTCCAAAATTTTCAATAATTCCCAAAAATTACAAAATCCTTACTAAACACTATTAAAAACCTTCAAAAAAAAAAAAAAAAAAAAAAAAAAAAAAAAAAAAAAAAAAAAAAAAAAAAAAAAAAAAAAAAAAAAAAAAAAAAAAAAAAAAAAAAAAAAAAAAAAAAAAAAAAAAAAAAAAAAAAAAAAAAAGGAAGAAGAAAAGTTCCATTCCATTCCCCTTCAAACTTCACACGACCAATTACATAATTTCCAAGGTGGCCATGACAATTCGATTATCCGCTGTAGGTAAGTGTTCAAATTTCTTTCGAAGCCGCCTGTATAAGAACGCATTGTACCAGCAGAAGCTGCATAAGCTTGCACGCTTGTCAAACGAATAGTCTTTTCAAATTAACGAAACGGTTAATCACGTTAGAGTGAGTAACGCGTAATATGGTTTCCCGTGTGTTTGCAGAACTGACTGTTCTGGACACGTGTGGCAGTATAGCTGGCGCTCTGAAAGCGGCAATGAGGGCTCTCGTGGGGGCAGACACGAACTGTTTGCAACCGCCTTACTACTTAGGTAAACGTTGTAACTTGGAGCATCAATCACGGGATTTTCCTGGCAGGAATATCGAGACAACGTTCTCTCTCCCTCGCTTACGATTTCCATTCCTGCAATCCGTTTCGTGTACTTACTACTACCGGTCTATATATCGCTTGTTTAACAGCCGAATCGTAAAGCCAAGATCGAAATATCGACGATAATTTCACGAATACGTGTATTTGATACCTTTTTCTTCTTTTTTTTCTTTTGCAAACACGAGATTTTCAGATTACTCGCTCTCTATTATTGTGAGATACAGATGGATGAATATTTAGATCGACTGTACGTTAGATTGGAGAAATAAGGAATTTATATTACATAGTACAAAAGATTTTTTATAATTTTGGTACATTCAGTTCGAGTAGTATCCTTTCTAGAATTCTATGAAATATTCTTGGAAAATGATTAACTGAGTTTTTGGAATAGAATATTTATCGCACGCAACAGAATTTTTCGTAATTTTTGTTGTATAACGAGTATACAATTATTATTGATCGAATCTTTCGTAGAAGAATTTTGAGATATTTTTGGAAAATGATCTACCGAGATTGTTCTCGTGTAGAATTTCAAAGGGAATTATTGTAATTTTTGTTTTTCTATCGTTGTTAAGGTTAGAAGTAAGGTTTCGAAGACAGAGGATATACTTGACCTATATACTGTAAGAATAGGTTATCCTTCGTTCTATATGTTGCTACTTTGTTGTACAGGAATTATCGGGCCAGACACTGCGACAAATGCGGAAGCCGTACATAAGATAACGTCAGTGCTGAAAGTGCCGCATATCGTGAGGCGAGAATCGAATTCTCCGTATCTTCATCATCTCATAAAGGAATCCGATTCTTATCTAGTTCAGGTAATGAAACGGTTACCTCAAAGGGGGTAAAAAATACGCGAACATCGAATGCGAAGTGATTAAGAGCAGGCGAAGTATTATAGAAGAGGAAAAGAAAAGATGTTGAGAACATTTACATCGTCGCGAGTAGAAAAACGATACGACTTACTGCCGCGAGTAATGAAAATTCGAAATCTTGAAAGTTTGAAATCGTGAAAATTTGGAAATTCGGTAATTTGAAACTTTGAAAATATGGAAATTCGGTAATTTGAAAATTTGAGAGTTGGAAATTAAAAAATTTGAAAGTTTGAAGGTTTGAGAGTTGGAAGTTTGAAAGTTTGAAGGTTTAAGCGCCTGAAAATTTGAAAATTTGAAAGTTTGAAACTTTGAAAATTTAAAAATTCCGAAAACGTAATTAAAGCTGGACATTTTACATCAACCGTGATTCTTAAATAATCTCAAAGAAAAAAACACGATACGATGGAATCAAAGTTACAGTAACGATATCAAGTGAAACCGCCATCGTGGAGAATGTAAAGGTAGACCGATTCAATACCAATAACCGCTAGAGGCACTGATTAATACAATCCCTCTTTTTTCTTCAGTGCCTACAATATGCACCAAGTATTTATTAACGCTCATTCAGTCTATAATTGCATCTCGTATATGTATGTTAATACCACGTCCGAACAGATACGGCATACTAACGGATTTAAAAGTTTTCAAATTCTTCGAGAGCAAAACGAGCTGTGACATATAAATTAATTCTATTCGGGCTATTGTGACACGCCCACTTCAATTTAAATTCTAACGTAACTGCGGCTTCTAACCAATACTTGTAATACTTTCTTCAACATTTCCTTTTTTTTTCTCTCTAAAATGCCATGCTTAATATTGCGATAAACATAAAGTCTACCGACATTGTTTATCAAACTTACATACGAATCGTGCATTCTGACAAAAATAATTTCATCCCTTTGATTCAAGATGTCTTCCTGAAGATTAAAAGAGAGAGAGAGAGAGAGAGAGAGAGAGAGAGAGAGAGTAATAGCTTAAATACAGTTCACTGGTTATAATGAAAAGCACCGTCGCTCGAATTAGGATGATATAGAGGCTCGTAGTCGTTTATCTTCCGGTAATCTAGTGTTAACTCGAGGAAGAACCCTATTGAACGATAAATTTCGCCAAGTCTTTTTCTTTTTCTTTTTTTTTTCACCCTCTAGTGGGAGGCATTTGTTCAAAAGTTGCTGAGCGCACTAACCCCACCGATTTTTCTGTTCCAGGGAACGTTGAAGGTCGTGGAGGAGCTGAAGTGGAAGTCGTTCACACTGGTGGTGAACGCCGACGAGGATGGCGAGGATGACGCTCAGAACATTGCGAAGAAATTGACAATGGCCGCAATTCATAAGGGTCTATGCGTGTTGGTCTATGACGGAGACGCGGACGGTACGATAATGTTGGTTCGACGGTGATTCAGGGGGTGTTATTGTTAGGATTTCCTTGGATACCGAGACGTTTGCTAGAGAATTTTGTTCATTTGTAATGTAAAAATTGGAGAATTTGAAATTCGGAGAATTCAAGAATGTGGGAATCTAAAATTTGAGAATTTAAGAATTTGGAAATCTAAAACTTTGAGAATTCGAAACTCTGAGAATTCAGGAATTTGGGAACCTAAAATTTTGAGAATTCGAAACTCTGGGAATTCAGGAATTTGGGAATCTAAAATTTTGAGAATTCGAAACTCTGAGAATTCCAGAATTTGGGAATCTAAAATTTGAGAATGTAGGAATTGGGGAATCTAAAATTTGAGAATTTAGGAATATGCGAATCTAAAATTTTGAGAATTCAAAAATTTAGGAGTCTCAAACTTTGAAAATTACGAGTTACGGAATTACGGAAATTTGAAAATTCGGTAATATGTAAATTTGAAAATTGCAGACTTAACCACGCATGTGGTGCACATCGGATCGCCTGAAGAAGATTTCTTCAGCAAACCTGTGAATGGCACCGTTCTGGTTGTAAGCGAGGGACGTCTCGAGGAACACCTAAACCATATAAATTCGACAAACACCATTCTACTCCTAGAGGACTCCAGGTAACGCAACACTTAACATCACCAATCTCTCAATATCCCATCTCTCTAAATATTCACACACAAACCTTTCACTATTCACCACTCCGTAAGTTGATAAATTGCAAATAAAACGAACTATTTAACGAGCGAAAAAAAAGGCAATTATATAAATAACAAATGTGTACGTGTGATTTCTCGGTTATCATCGTCGTGTCACTGTCAAAAAAATTTGACTTTGCACCGATATTTTTATAAGGCAAAAATAACGCAATTACAAAAAAAAAACTTTTTATTCAATAAAAAGTAAAGATCACTACAATTTTGCAAAAAACCATTTCTCTAAGCCTTATAAAAATATCGGTGCAAAGTCAAATTTTTTTGACAGCGACACGACGATGATAACCGAGAAGTCACGCGTACGCATTTATTCGATCGCGCGCGGATGAGCCTGTTCTTCGTCCCTGAGCGCGGGGACTACACGCGCTCTGATTGGCCAGTGTTTTTCGTTAATAATAATAATTCAAAAATGAAGCTTCAAACAACATTTTGGTAAAGGAAAAAGTTGTTCAGACTCACTCCAGAAACCCCCCATTTCCGGGAGTTCGAGGAGTTACGGGACACCCTGTATATGTATACTTCCTAGTAAGGCTTTAGATTAATTTTTGTTATATCTAACTGACTGATAAATCTAACAATCACTAACGACTCGACTCGTTTCGTAAAACTCGAGATTCGATCTCGTATGCAACATACGACGAATTCATTCGACGAGCAACAAGCCGTGACAGTATTACCATTTCTCAATCGATATATGTTCTTTTTCTTTCCTTCGTTTCATCGTTCCACTTCACACCCACAACGTCGACAGGGTCGTTCGATCTGCACATTTACACAGTGAGAGAAACCGACGGTTCCTCTTCTATATCGGATGGTTACGACATCGACGACTTTGTTTTCGACCCTTAATGCACGATTCGTTCGGACCCTCAGCTATCGTTCGCCTAAACCGAGCAACGATTGCTCGGAAATCCTCGTGTTTCATCTTTTCGACGATCCTGAAACTCGTATACTCCAGGATTATCCCTGGCACGAGTCGAATAACGTTTTCGTTTAGGTCAATTATGATTGCAATTATGCGAGACGAGTAGTTTTTTTTGTCCTTGGAACAGAGAGATAGAAAAGTGAAAGATAACTGAATGAAAAATTTGGAAAATTGAAGATTCGAAAGTTTGAGGATTCAAGGATTTGGTAATCCAGAAGCATGAAAATTCGGTAATTTGAGAATTCAAATATTTGAAAATTCGGAAAATTGAAAATTCGAAACTCTGAGAATTCAAGAATTGGAGAGTCTAAAATTCTGAGAATTCTGGGATTTTAAATTTTGAGAATTCAAGGATTTGGTAATCCAGAAGTATGAAAATTCGGTAATTTGAGAATTCAAATATTTGAAAATTCGAAACTCGGAGAATTCAAGAATTTGGAAATCTGGAAGTATGAAAATTCGGTAATTCGGGAATCTAAAAGCATGAAAATTCGGTATATTGAGAATTCAAATATTTGAAAATTCGGAAAATTGAAAATTCCAAACTCTGAGAATCTAAAATTTTGAGAATTAAAAAATCTGGAAATCTAAAATTTCGATAATTCGAAAATTCTGTCGATGAATTTTCCATTTCTCTACTGTCACAAACTAAAAATCGCAATCAAATCTATCTTCCAAATTGCAGCTAACAATTACGATTATTCACAAAGCAAACAGTAGAGCCATTTAAAGTTACCTCAACAAATTGATCGTTGCGTAACATTCCTCTGTTAATACACAACGTCTTTTTCCTCCTTGTGTCATCGCGATAATAAATTGTCCTATCCACAGCGTCTACTCGTTCTAACGTGCATCAGAATGCACAAGGATTCATAGTTCTACAAACCCGACGCAAATTTACAGTTAAAAATAATTGCGCATTTAAATACCGCGTATCTATCGTACAGGGTGATTCACTCTTTTCTGAATGCAATTAGAAAAGAATGTTAGAGGAAGAAGGCGAATGATTCAAAGAAGGCTACATTTCTACTACCATTTTTCAACTAGAAACTGTCATTTTTAAATAGTACAATTTAAGATTTTACAAGTGAGAACGACGAGAGGAATTTTAAAATCTAAAATTTTCACACTTTTCCAGGCAAACATAGCTCACGTTTAGAGCTGTTCTTTTTTTTTTTTTTATACAAATATCTCAAAATTAACGATCTTTCAAACACGTCACACTCTTCTAGCAAACCGAAGAAAACGTATTTTCTGTTTTATACGCAGAAAAAAATCCTCTCGTCATTCTGCCTATACAGGCATACTGACCTGATGTACATACTTACTGCATTCAGCGCGGAGGAAAGAAAAGTAGGTGTAAAAAATGGATCATAATCGAGTGCAACTGACGGTGAGTCAGGTATCCTGTTGTCGGATCTCATTTTGTTCTCCTTCTTTTTTCTCGGGAAAAAACGAAAAAAAAAAAGGAACAAATCGAAGGTGTATCGGTAAAGGAACTGGTGCGACAGACAATGCGTACACGGAACGATAGAATTATGTATTTAGAAATCGATATATCCTTCCATATAATCCTTCAAGGTTTTCGTTTGCATAAAGTAGCAGCACAGTGTGTATAATATGTAAATAATTAAAAGACGGAACGTTACGATTAACGAGCGCGCAACGAACTAGGTAGAATTGGTCGAAGAATTATGAGAAACGTACGATTAGAAACTGTGTGATTCACCGGGTATAAGAAGACAACGTAACGGAAAAGTTGGAGAGGAAAACGATGAGAGGTTTAAACGGCAATCTTCTCACAATCTTCTCCATTAGGTTTTTTCGATCGTTCGTTATTTTGCATTTTACTCGTGCGATGCATTTACTGTGCAAGCCAGTTACAGCTATAAATTTTATTAACGGTACCTCGTAAATCCAAGGAAAGAAACGGTACCTTCTTTTTTTACTACCGTTTCTCTTTTTCCACGTATTTTTTTTTTTTTTTGTAGAATACACACACTTTGGATAAGAAAATATAGGTTAGCTTGTTGAATAATTAATTCAAAGGTAATTGCTAATTTTATTGAAATATTTAGGGCGATCATTTTTTAAATATCAGTGAATATTACATTGTAAGTATGAATAATAATAGTTTTGGAAGAAGTTATAAATCATCGTTTCATAGAAAAATCAGCCATGTGTTTTGAAGTGGAAAATGCAACGATTTTATCGATATTTCGCGTTTTTACGGTTTCGTAATTGTTTAGACATGAAATTAAGAACGACAAGTTATATGTATTAAAGTAATTGCTCGCATAATCGTTCGGTAAAAATTCGAAATGTTGTTTCACGTATCGTTAACTAATCAAGATCTCTATTAGTCATAATTAAAGTGTACAAACTGTTTTCATTATTTCAATGGTAGAAACTTATTAATTGATTGAATATAAATGTCCTTCGTATGATGTTATAGTAATGAGTTGTGATCATTGAGAATTTAGTAATATGTAGTATTGCGTAATTTTTATATGTATCTCGTTTGAATTTACATTTGTAAAGTGTAGTGGTATGAGAGCTGTCAACTTCATTTTGTCAAATGAAATTTGAATGTTTCGAAATATTTTGATTTGAAAGTTTGAAAATTTGAAAATCTAAAATCTAAATTGAGAAATTTGAAAGCTCGAGAGTTGGAAAATTTGAGAGTTTGAGAGTGTGAAACTTTGAAAATTTGAGAATTCAAAAGTTTGAAAATTCCAAAATTTGCGAGTTTGAAAGTTAGAAAATTTGAAAATTTGAAAGTTTGAGAGCTTGAAAACTTGAAAGTTTGAACGCTTGAAAGCTTGAAATTTGGACGAAACAGTACTTAAAATAATTACTTGGCACTGCTGTTTACATTCTGATACGTTCTTTTGTAATTACCCAAAACGACTTCTAGGGTATCGCATTCTCGGTCGTTATTCTTCCTCGTCCATGCCATTAAACTTAGAAGGGGTTGTCTTTACGGAGTACCACGACAGGATGGTTGTTTTATTGCCATTCTATGCTCTCTTTACGATCGTACCTGTCGTCGGCGATCTCGTTCTTGCTTTGATCATAGCCTCGCTTTATTATTGTACGCTCTTCTAAGCCTAACAAAAGAGCTTCTATTCCCTAGTGCAACAAAAGAACAATATACTAAAGCTTCAAAATCCCTGTCTACACAACAGAGTCGCTCACGCTAGAAGCACCTATTCCTACAGAACCCTAATTTCATCAATAAATGAAAACAGTTCCACTCCTGTCAAGAACAATCCTCAGAATCTCCGTACACGTCCATCGACTTGGACGAAGCTAGTCTTCCATGGAAGCCAGCGCCAGGTTCTTGCGATCTCTAAATCGTTCGCGATCGAGGCTCATGCGGTCGTCGCTATGTTTAGCCCGTTGATCGTCTGGTCCCAGACAAAAAGCTGTCACGAATAGCAGCTTCTGCGCCGACTGTCGAGGGTAGCGTCTCCGCGACGTAAGAAAACCTTCGCAAGGTAAACCGGCTTCGTGTTGCCTTAGTCTCTCTCTCTCTCTGTCTTTCTCTCTCTGCGGGAGGGTAAGCACTGCATGTGGAAAAAATATGGACGATCAGTGGCGCCCGGTGAACGTTCATCGTGAACAATGTGTTCGATTCGTTGCTCCTTTTCTGCCCCCGGCAACCACGCGCAAACCCGTTGCGCACTTTTATAAAGATTGAAAATTCCAAAATTTGAAAGTTTGAGCGCCTGAAAACTTCAAAATTTGAAAATCTGAAAGCTTGAGAGGTGAAAAATTTGAAAGTTTGAGAGTGTGAAACTGAAAACTTGAAAGTTTGAAAATTTGAGAATTCAAAAGTTTGAAAACTTAAAAATTTGAAAGTTTGAGCGCCTGAAAACTTCAAAATTTGAAAATCCGAAAGCCTGAAAGGTCGAAACTTTGAAAGTTCGAGAGTTTGAAAATTCAAAAATTCGACACTTTGAAAAACCGTAACACCATACTCAACTACGAACGCTTTTCGCATCCAGTTCATTAGAACTGCACTTGAGAAATACAGAATTACATATCGTATCCACTGATTGCTGTCAATTGCACGCTGTGAAGTTAACAGACAACTTATAAAAACATAATACCGTACCATTAAGTATTGTACTGTATATTTTCCATTTGCAATTAATTTCAACTGTATTTTAATAACGCAGCCGTAAATAATCTACTGTAATTACCACCTACAAGCTGTCATACTGATTGACACTTGAGTAATGCTACATGTTCAACAAGGAACACTTCTCATAATTAATTTCATCCAACGATGTTTCAAAATCCTAATTCTACGCAACTTACGGTAGTCGTAAATGAATAAATTGTCGCTTTAATTATGAAATTTGTTACGAGCTTACGCTTTGGTGTCCTGGAGAGGAAAGTTTGGAACGTTCGACGTATGTATGTGAATACATAATATCTGAAACGCGTTTTCACGATACCTATGTAGGTGTCAGAAGAGAAAAGGAGAAAAATATGAAAAGAAAAGCTATTCTTTATTGCAAATACAAGTACTGTTGGTAATCGTTTTACCTTCAAACGTTAACGATCGTTGCATCACGTCGACGTATTTTAAATTCAGTACAGTCATTAAACGCGGCGATTATTATTCATAGAAACAAGCCTAATCTCGTAATTATCCCATTCGTATAATGTCGCTCGGTAATAGAAACATCGTGGCTCGTTCGTACAAACGTTGCACGCAAACATTCGAGTTCATTAGCACATACCTGACGTTCTGTCATCCTATTAACAACCGTTACAATCACACACACACACACCCGCGTAACGTTTCTCCATTGTATAAACGGTATCTTGACGTCAACGTAATTTCACGCTTTCGTTTACTTCTGTCATCCGTCTGGTGACTATACGAATACAATACACGTTTCTGCGCATTCCTCGAAACAGGTATCTACTACTCGAAGATGTAGCGATTAAGAAAGTACAATATGCTGTTTTGCGCAATTCTAAGTAATTTTTTCTTCTTCTGTAATGTTTAGGTACTTGCGTAACGTTGGATTGGCATATTTTTATTTGTCCTACATTTGAATTTGCCACGTTTGGGGAATTCGTAAATCTGGAAATTTGAGGAATTCAGAAACACGGAAATCTGGGAAATCTGGGGAAATAGGAAAATAAGATTGAGAAATTGGGAAATCTGGGAAATTGGAAAATAAGATTGGGAAATTGGGGAAATATGGAAATAAGATTGAGAAATTGGGAAAATAGGAAAATAAGATTGGGAAATTGGAAAAATAAGATTGGGAAATCTGGGAAATTGGAAAATAAGACTGGGACATTGGGGAAATAGGAAAATTAGGAAACTTCGGAAATTCAGAAGGTAGAAGAATTTGGAGAATTAGGGAATTGAGAAATTCGTGAATTAGGAATTACGGAAAATTGGGGAATTGAGAAATTTGGAAAATGTGAAAATTGGAGAATTTGGAAATTTAGGAAATACGAAAATTGGAGAAATGAGAAATTTGGGAAATATGAAAATTGGTAAATTCGGGAAATTTGGGGAATTGGGAAATTCAGAAATCCGTAAATCCGAAGAAGTGAGAAACATAAGAAACTCTGAAAATTGATCATTTCTCTATACACTCTCCCCCAAATAATATTCTCAACCGAGTTGCAAAATTTTTCGCCAACATTTATCCGTACAATATGAAATTGGAATATTTCCGCTGAAATCTGAAATCTCTGCGAACTTGCTAACCTCGCGTTTCCATCGAAACATAATTCTCAATCGTAATTAAAATTTCACTGCAACTTTTCTCATTCAAATTTCATTCGAAATTCATTACAATTTAATTCCATTCGCAGAAAAAAGAAACGTGATATCGTTCGAGAAGACTGATCGTACGTTAATTCGTACTTTTCGATTGATCTGTGTCAGGAACGAGTTCACGGGGCTAGAGGCGAAAGTCGAGAAGTCGAAATGGTGGTCCAGCAAAGATGGCGGCAAATACGACACCGAAGAGTTGAGGGAGGTTAGGTGGCTCGAGGACGCGATAAAAGTGTACGCGAAGGCGTTAGACACGCTGTGGTGAGCATGACCACTTGATTACACCTTAACAATTCTCATTTCCCATGGAAAAATTTCCAACGACATTACAAAATGTAAAAAACGTTCGTACTCCGATGAATCAGCCTGCACACATTCTCTTTTTTTTCTTCCAAGTGAAAACAGGATTGTGTAAAAACCACCGTTTATTATCCCTTCCTTTTGATAATCGAGAAACAATTCCAACTGGTTTAACGTAGAAACGCAGAACGTCCCTGTACACGATTTTGTACATTTCTCGAATATTTCGATTCGTCGAATAATCTGACACGCGTTTCATTTCCCCTCGAAGAATGCTACTTGTTTTCACGAGACAACGTGTGATTAAGTTAATTGCACAACAGGTCAATGGCAGAGTATAATTGAATCAAAGTTACTCAACAGAATCGAGTAGCACGCGTGGAAACTACCGTTAGAAATTTCCCTCGTTCTTCGTCTGAAAAGTCCAACGACATTTTATCTTATCTCGCTTAATTTTGCTTCACTTATTTATACATTTTCACGAATTTATATGCAAAATAATATAGACAAAGGGGCAGAGAGGAAAATTGGAGAAATTTGGAAAATGTGAAAATTGGAGAATTTGGAAATTTAGGAAATACGAAAATTGGAGAAATGAGAAATTTGGGAAATACGAAAATTGCAGAATTGAGAAATTTCGATAGTTATGAAATAATGAAAAAATGAAATTATATTTTCCACGGAGGAATGAAAATGGTTTTTCTTTTTTTTAATTGAAACAAAGATTACTCCGTAGAATTGAACGAATTCGAAGTTGATGCGATAAAACTGGGAAACTTTTCAACGCTCGAATTGTAAATTATTTGAGCAATCGAAATTTCACGTTGCATAGATACATAAATTGTGTGGAAAAACAATGTGTGGAAATAACAATTTGTAATAATAACTGCTTGCGATAGAGGATGATAGGTGAATGTTGAATGGAATGGAATAGATTAATCGTTTTTCACGTTTACGTAGCAAAAAGAAGAAGTGCAAGAACCCGGTGAACGCCGTGGACTGGAACAACGTTCTGTCAAACGTAATCGCGGATCACGTGAAAGAGGCGCAATCGACCGCCGCATCGCTCGAGCTATCGATGAAAGTAAAAGCCAGTGAATTACAAACGCTTGGCACGCTTGTTATTCACAAGAACAAAGTGAAGTTGCATTGGGGAGATGAGGAGAACGGCGAGGATGGAAAAGACGGTGATAATGACGACGACGACGACGACGACGACGACGAGGAGGAGGAAATGCCGAAAGCGTTCAAGAAGTTGATCACGAAGGAAAAGGGAACGCGTACAGGTTGCGCTACCACGCCTAAGGAGATCAAATTGTTGCACGAGGACGACGACGAGGCTGCACAAGTTCTTGTCTCGGAGATGGACAACAGCGAATGGTGGACAATGGTCAGTCACTTGTTACATTATTACTTGATCGGTTCGATGATGCAATTTTACGGGAAAATGGTGTACGTAGTGATGTTACTGTCGATGTTGGATTGTTGCTGCGGGTGGAGGGAATGGCGTTGAGTTGGAGAATTTGGAGGATTTTGGAAATTGAGAAATAGGGAAATTTGGGTAATCGAAAATTTGGGAAATTGGGAATCTGGAAATAGGGAAATTTGGGAAAATAGGAATTCTGGAAATTTGGGAAATGTAAAATCTGATATTCTGAAAATTTGGGAAATTAGGAATCTGGGAATAGGGAAATTCGGGGAGTGGAAAATTTGGGAAAATAGGAATTCTGGAAATTTGGGAAATGTAGAATCTGATATTCTGGAAATTTGGGAAATTAGGAATCTGGGAATAGGGAAATTTGGGGAGTGAAACATTGGGAAAATAGGAATTCTGGAAATTTGGGAAATTTAGGGAGTGGAAAATTTGGGAAAATAGGAATTCTGGAAATTTGGGAAACTCGGAATCTGAAACTCTGCGAATTGGGAAATACAGAAAATTTGGGAATTCGGGAATCTGAAAATTGGGAAATTCGGAAATCCGAATATTGGGAAAATTGTAGAAATGGAAAATTTGAGAAATTCGGGAATCCGAAGATTCTAGGAATCAGGAAATTTGGGAATCTGAATTCTGCAAATCGAAGAATTTCGAAACTTGGGAAACTCGGAAAATTGAGAAATTCGAGGAATCTGAAAGTTCCGAAAATGGGAAATTCAGGAAACTGAAAACTTTGCAAACTAAAAAAATGACGAGTATAAAAATTCGGGAAATTAGGGAATTACAGAATTGTCGTAACTGAGAATTCGAGAAATTGGAAAACTTATGAAACCGATAAAAAAAAAGTCAGTAGATTTGAACAACAATAATAAAACAACCATACCAACTTCAGGTTGGCACAGTGAGTGGCGTCGGTGTCGCCATGTTCGTCGTCGGAATTCTTGCCGTCTACGTGGTCTATACGAACATTCGCGGTCCTGTGCCCCCCAAGAATGCTCGTATCGAAAGGGACACCAGCTTGAGAAGAGTGGGCAGTGACAGGGAACCACCTGCTCGTGCTCCAAGACACGCCCGCACCTTACAGAGGAGGGACAGCAACAGAAGCATCAGGAGCACTATTTCGGAGAAAAGTGTCTGATGCGTTCCTGACACAGGCAGCAACAACCACTTAGGCCCGTCGCTCTTTTCTGTTTCTTCCTTTCTTCTTCTTTTTATCCCGAATCGATTCGAACCAATTCGAATATGTTTACTCAAACAGAAAGAAAATTTAGCTGTTTTAGAGGTTAGACGTTAAAATTCGAAATGATTTAAATCGATCTTACGATCCCCGTTCGATTCGGTTCGAAGCGGTTCACCAATCGGATTCGATTCGTACCGCTTCGAATCCTATCTGTAATCTCCCTTCAACTTACGTTTGCAATTAACTCGAATCGAAATTCGAACTCGGTCACTATTTCATTCGACAAATTCCCTCGCGATCTATATATATAGTCAGTTTTCCTTTTTTTCCTCGTTTCAATTTCAATCCGTTTCGCTCGATTCGAGTAGAGTAACATCGGCTATGCTTGCGCTCAACTCGAACGAGTATAATACGTCAGAGATTTCGAGGAAAAGATTGTGCAACGGGATGCAAAAGCCGTCGATTTTCTTCCTTATTTACTCGTTACTAACTTGTCACTTATGTATGTACATGTTACCGGTGTACGATAAACCACGATTTATTCGTCTCGCGAATGGAAGGAAAATTGTTGAAAACTTCACTTTATGCCTATTATTTCTAACGACTACCGATTACGATCTATAGGACAATGACATCTTTGAATGATTCCTGTGAAACTTTCGAACGGAAGCGTTAAATGTACAACGTAGATGAACATGATACATCGACTAATTGTTATTTTCTTCTTCCCTTTTACTTGTTGGCTATTAATTAATACGTTGTTATTATTACTATTATTATTGTACTATGCATGTAAAAGCTGCTTACACCGAGATATTGTACGCGATCAAATACTTGTGTAAAATAGTTATTTAGTAATAAATTTAATAAAGTTTATCTAGATGCTGCACGTGTTGTGCGATCAAGCTTAACAAACGTTATCTAACGATCTGGAATAAGTTGCCTCTGCGAGTTCGATTGCCGATGACAATTGATAATGGTGTACACAGAAGAGATAGGAATCATGCAACCATGTATCGATATTACTCTGTACACGGTTGTTCGTGTGGCTCGCGTTACACTGTATCATGTGCATGAATGGTTACACCACGATAGTTCTGCATAATTTACGTACACGAGCCGAGTGTACCTGTTTCGAAAGAATAGATCGCTATCGATTTCAACGCTGTGCTGTTTAGAGAGAGTATTAGAAATACGACGGGGATGTCGGCAAGAAACGGTTTCAGCATACTCTTCAGATGGCACAGATATGAAATTTTTAAAATTCTTTCAAATGCCCAAATTCCCAGGTTCGCGAATTTTCAAATCCACAAATTCGAAAATCCCCAAGTTCCCAAATCCCGAAATTCTCAAATCCTCAAGTTCCCAAATCCCCAAGTTCCTAAATTTCCAAATTCCAAAGTTCCCAAATCCTCAAATTCTCAAATACCCAAGTTCCCAAATCCTCGAGTTCCTAAATTCCCAAGTTCCCAAGTTCCCAAATTCTCAAATCCCCAAGTTCCCAAATTTCTAAATTCTCAAATCCCTAAATTTCCAAATTCCAGAGTTCCCAAATTCTCAAATCCCTAAATTCCCAAGTTCTCAAATTCCCAAGTTCCTAAATCCCCAAATTCTCAAATTCCCAAGTTCCCAAATCCTCAAGTTCCTAAATTCCTAAGTTCCCAAGTTCCCAAATTTCCAAATTCTCAAATCCCCAAGTTCCAAAATTTCTAAATTCTCAAATCCCTAAATTTCCAAATTCCAAAGTTCCCAAATTCTCAAATCCCTAAATTCCCAAGTTCCCAAATCCCCAAATTCTCAAATTCCCAAGTTCTCGAATTCTCAAATCCCCAAATTCCCAAATTCACAAATCGCCTAATTCCCAAATTTCTAAATTCTCAAGTCCCCAAATTCTCAACTCCCTAAATTCTCAAATCCCCAAATTTCCATATTCCCAAATCTCCAAATCCCCAAATTTCCATATTCCCAAATCCCCAAATTCCCCAAAACCCAATTTATACAATTCTCTACACCATCGAAAAATGAGCAACCTACCGTCGTCTTTTCCGAGACCACGAAGCTGCGACTAATCCCTTCGTAACCTAACCTCAAATTTTAATAGACTACTAAACGAATTCATAAACAACTATACACAATTAACGGAAATATGCTGGTCAAACAATGCTGATCGACGCAGACAGGGTCGATGGAATTGACCTTGGCGGTTCTCTTCAACTTCAGACAGATTATCGGCCACGGAACGAGACGTCAAAGTGACACTTCCGGCACGACGAAGCGCTCATGTAAAAGCAGCGGGGAGAATGTTGCCGCGGATGTGATAAATTAAGATTGAAAAATAGGGTTATGCCCGGCTGGTCGAGAGACCGACTACTATTGTTCTCGCCACTTGACCTAATCAGACGTTCAATCAAGGTTACGTAACACGCAAAATACTCGACCGACGATCATCACGGTGTACCGATCAAAACAATCACCATCGCTCAGAAGAGGGTCTTTTGACAACGGAGAAATTTTTGCTCTTTTTTTTTCTTCTTTAAATACATTATGACGCACGAACAGTATACATATACTTTTTTATCTAGGTGAACGTGAATAGTGTGAAACTTCCTCTCGACGAGATATTTAATCACTTTAATGCGGCTTGGAGAAAAGGAACTTGGAAGGATCTTGTGAAATACTTGCAATTAATAATCTTAACTCACGTACAATGAAAATTTCGTAGGAAATGGAACGATATAGGTTGAGAAAAAATTACTTAAATTTATACTAACAAATAGCCCTCAATGATATTAAGTTAATTTAAAAAATTTGTAAAAAAATTCTAAAATAATTTACCATTTTTCAAATATAAAAAAAAAACAATACTCGATTAAAACGTTTCTGCTACCTGTACTCCCGATAAAAACGCAACATTACACACGAACGGTAAAGTTGCACTTCATTCACAAACGTCGTCATCAGCGTATCGATCTGTTCTCGTGTTCCTCGTACAGAGTACGCAGGATCGTTTACCGCCTACCTGGTCGTTCATTCAGTGGCCAGGCAACGAAATCTGACATCCTAGAAGCTGCAAGGCGGATGACGTCAACGGAGAATACGTCCCAGGAGTGCAACAGGAAAGTGTCGACTGTCGTTGCGTCGGGGATTTCCACTTTCTTTGAAACCGTTCCGTAAAATATGCACCGCGATTCGCCGTAGGTAAAATCTAGAATAAATAGACTGGAACAACGTAGTTTCAAGCGGAAGAAATGCTAATTAATTTCGAGAATTGAGGAACTGGTAACTGGGAAGTTTGAAAAATTGAGAAATTCTGGAAATGTGAGAATTGGGCAATTGGGAAATTCGGGGAATTGAGACCATGGGAAAATTTCGGAAAATTGATGAATTGAGAAATTTGGAAAATTGGAGAGTTGAGAAATTCGAGAATCTGGAAGATTGGGAAATTGAGGAAATTAGGGAAAATCGAGAATCTTAAGTACGGGAAATTCGACACATTTTCCATTTTCTTCGAAACTGTTCCATAAAAGATCAACCGTGATTTATCGCAGGAAAAATCATGAATATACAGGCTGCAAGATCGTACTTAAAGGTATAAAAAAAGTGCTAATCAATTCCGAAGAAAATTACAAAGAAGTACGGTACGACGTTAAGTGTTGAAAAATGCATTACGTAGAGCATGATTTCGAATAACGTGTTACAATCTTCCGGTAAATAGTTACACGTGTCGTGTATGTACATGTAAATGTATCGTCGGTGGAAATAACATAAATCGAGAGTTCTGTTTAACTGTGTATAAAAAAACTCGACGATTACAATAGAAAACGTAGAATTTTCCGTTCGTCTTTCTCTCGATGCAGCAATAGGACACGTCGCGGCAACCCAAGCTCTTTCTTCGCCATGCTTGGTAACAATAGGCGCACCTGTTGCGCTCTGATTCGATCGATTCGCCACGGTAATGAACATTGCGGTGTAACTGCCCTTTTAGATTCGTATCGTGTGAGAGGAAACTTGCGATAATTATCGGAGTGCTTTAGCACGTTGACTGCCAAGCTACGAGATAACTCGTAGTTGGCAGTTTGCTGGTAGAAGTTACATCCTATTCGGAGACGCCCGACCACGAGATAATTCGAAAGCATTTTTTCTTTTTTTGCAAAAAAAAGTCATAATATAAAAGTTAATATGTGTTTGTTTAATTCTATACGGTAAATTGAAAAAAAAAAAAAAATGTTGGCGTCTAGAACAGATTTCTTCAAAATAGGCTTGGCGGTCAACGTGTTAATGTTCCACCGAGGCGATAAATAGATTATGACACTTTTGAAAATAGAAATTGTATAATCACATGTAGTAAGAATAAAGGGGGATTGAGAAATTTGGAAAGTAGGGCATTGGGAAATTAGAAAATGTAGCAACTTGGAAAATTGGGGGATTTCAGGATGGAGGAATTGAGAAATTTGGAAAATTGTGAAATTCGAGAATGGCGGAAACTGAAAATTGGGAATTTGGAAAATTTGGGGAAATTTTGAGAACCAGAGAATTGGGAAATTTGGAAAATTATAAAATTCGATGATTTCGGAAATGGAAAATTGGGAATTTGGGAAAATTTTGGGAACCAGAGAATTAGGAAATTTGGAAACTTATGAAATTCGATGATTGCGGAAATGGGAAAATTCGGGGAAATTTTGAGAACCAGAGAATTGGAAAATTTGAAGGACAGCGAAATTGGGAAATTAAGGAATTGTGAAATTCAGAAGTTTAGGAATTCGACAATTCCGGAAATTCAGAAACTGATAAGCCAACTCACCTCTGTCCCCGTTAATACAACAAAGAGCACGGATAAGAAACTAGAACTGCGATACATATCGATTACAAGCAACATTGAACGGTCAACTATAACCTGCAATCACATCATCCCGGAGCTGGTTTTTCCAGCAACCTTCAACATTGTAGCATGAACATTCGAAAAAATGGAAAAAATCACGGACCAACCACTCACTAGAGAAGCTAACTTGTTCGATTTCCCAGGATAAAGAAACTAACTGCCTATATCTATCGTATCGTCAGCAACGATTGGCCTACGTAACGTTTCTATGCAAATACGGTGAACGCAAAACGAATCACATCGTCGAGCGGATACGAGGCGTTAACGAAAACTACAGTTTAACCGTGAAACGGCGGAATTTAGACGAAATCAGGCGACAAAAGAGCAACGGGGGGAGGGGTTGTTCATTTTTCCCCCCATCTGGAAATTTCTACGAATCGAATATTTCCCTGCATCAGTCATCGAAACAGAACCGCGCATCGCTTTATCGTGTTTCACCTCAATCGCCGATCGTGACGACATCGCGTATAATCTCGCGACTATGAAACGAGTGACGTAACACTCGGAGGCGTTTAACAGCAACAAAGGGAATACAGAAGAAGAAGAAGAGGAAGAAGAGAAAAAAAAAGAGGCGGGAATTATTCGTGGAAGAAATCACGATTAACTTGTACGCCAAGTCGAAACGATTATCCAATTATCCGCCATTAGACAGGTAAGAAACTCGCGGCCGCCATATTGAGGGCCGATCAGTTATGGCACACGCCCCGCCTCGTTATAATTACGCCGATAAATTTGAATTGAAATAATTGAAGCTGAGGATACGACCTTCGCTTCACGCTATGACCCTCACTTCATCATTATTCGTCCGTGAGATCGTCGTTTCCATGTTTCGTTTCGAAGGAAGAAACTGGCCTCCTTTTCGAGCCGCTCGACCGCCATTTCTGGCGCTTAGAATAATTCTACAACGCCTGGCTGCTCGTGACAGAGATATTTCGGAATGTACGATTATCGCGATGGAAAACGCGCCGATTTAGAATTAGTTCGCTTAAATTTAGTAATAAGAAATTTTTTAACAAGCCAGGGTAATTTTAATTTTGCAATGGTCATTTTTTGACGAATCTGAGGTGAGAGTATGGTTTCGTTTGTTTGTCAAGATTCGTGACGTAGTATTGGAAATTTCAGGTATACGAATAATATGAACGTTGGAAATATTCATTTTTGTTGAATATTTGTACGACACAGACGGAATTTCGATTAATTTCTATTGCAACGAAAATGTGAAGTATAATAAAAGACGTTTCACGAGGGGAAAGCATTCTTCTGTAATTCTTTCATGACCAGAAATGCAAGCTTATACAGTGTCCGAAAATCTTTAGAAGTAACTGTACCAAAAAAAAAAAAAAAAAAAGAACTAGGTCAGTCTGAGAGACAGAGATATATTCGTGAAACAATGTCGATGAAAACACTGCCTTTAAATCTATATTCTCCATGCGGAGCTAATTAACGAAACCGCGAAAACATTGCGAATTAAAACCATTCTCTTTAAAACTGTATTTTCCATTCGCAGCTAAGTTTATCTGCGCCACCTTCCTTCGCCAATTTTGCTCTCAATTAAATCCGCAAAGCCGACGCGTTATCTCTGAAGGCGGTAAATGAAAAATATCTGTTTCACTTTGCAAGTCTTCTGTGAAACTTGCGAGTCACGGAGTTTCCTGTTTGCATTTTTAAACGGGAAAGAAGAAGAAAAAAAAACGAGGCGAGAGATGTGACAGAGCAATTAGAAGAGGCGATACGTCATGAAAGTTTCATGAAACCGTATCTGTCGGCCGTGTGACAAAAAGGGTGATCCCCAGCGTCGGTGATCTGGAACTCCCAACTGTATTGTCGCACGCGTTTCCAGTTAGGCGAGCTTCGACGCAAGCTCGCGCGTCACTATGCGTCACGCGTGACACTAAACGGTCCGGCAATGATCTCGAGCACGCTAAGTCATAGCTATAGCCTAAGTATACTCTGTCGCGTTCTTTTACCTTGATTAACCAAACTGAGCGCGCGAAAATGGAAAAAACTGTGAATTTTCATAAATCTTGCTCTATTTTGCTTTTCTCGCGAAATAAATTGACGATTTCAAATTTGGATGAAAACTGGTGTTGCGATGGTAATTGAAATTAACAACAATGTACCGGTAACGAGTACGGTGAGACAAAATGAGGAGAAACAGAATTAAATTAAGAAACAATTGCTCGTGGTGTAAAGCATAAATGAAAAAATACTCGACGACAAAAGGATAAATTGAATTCAATTGAATCGACGAAAGTTGATATCTAAATAACGCTGATACACGATAAAGAATTCATTGCGATTTGTGTTATTCTACATGGTAGGGGGAAAATGGTCTCGTAATAGGGTAAAAAAATTGCTCACAGTATAGAGAACGGAGGCAAAAAGCTCAATGATACGGTAGCAAATTAAATTGCATTATATTTATATGAATCACAGGAGGGAATCGCGTTGAAAGGTAGCAGGTCTTGAATAATGAAACACTGAATCACGGATAATAGTTAAAGAACATTAACAATATTGTGCGTCGTTTCGTCTCGTCGTCGCCTTGAGATTATGCAACAGCTGATATTTAATAAATACATCTCCTTGATTCCCTCTTGGATTCGCGATTTACCGTAACAAAATGATATCCACGCCGTAGATCGGGAACTATCGTCGTTTAACCTGTGTCTAACGTTTACATTAACGTCGCCCAGTGGAAGAAACTTAGCGAAACGACAAAGTATAATAATTTTACGATTCACTGATTTCCTTGAGGTCACCTGCGTTTGTCCACGATGAGAATTACGCGGATAGGTGTAATTAGGAGGAATTCTTAATTCAAGGATCGCCACGTTTTCTCGATTCATTGGAGCTTCGCGATGGAACGAATCGATTCGCCCTTTGACGATTGTCAGGGTTAACTATTTTGAGACGACGACGATTTATGAGTTACTATTAACGGATCTACTATCTGGTATAGTTATCTACCAGCCAGTGTATTTATACTTCTGAACCAATTTTGAGCAAACTTGAAACTAATTTTGAGCAAACTTTGAGCAAACTTTGAGCCAATTTGAAACCGGTGTTCAGCAAAATTGGGGCCAATTTTGAGCAAAAATTTGAGCGACGGCTCAAACTAATTTTTGAGCCAAGCTCGCGCGTTTTTGGACACGCTTTGAGCAAATTTTTGTATGTACCTCTGAGCAAACTTTGAGCAATTCTTCAAAAAACTTGGAACCATTCTGACCCTTTAAGAGTGCTCAAAATTCCCACTCGAAGCAGATGATAACATTCACCATCAATAACAACCAGCAACCTCCATATCTCATTACCAACGACCCGTCGACATAAATGCACACCACGGTTGAAAACCACTGCTCAGAGTTAACGTCATCGACAAGGGTCATAAATTGTCCAGCCTCTGCATTCCCTCGTGGAGCCAGTTTTCATCCTCACGTAACGTCAGTCATTTCAATAATCACCGAATATTATGATCATCTAATTGTAGAAAACGTAAACAGAATCCTTCGACGTTCAAACAGTCGCCTAACCTGATCGAAGGTAGCGCGAACAGAATGAAAGACTGTCGATGTTGAAAGCGTATCGAAGGCGGTCGATAAAAAAAACCTATCAATAATTTCTTACTGTTACCTCAACCCTTTGCACTCGACACGCATAATACAACTATTAAAGCAAACTAAACGAAATAAATAAATTCCCGAACATTTGCCACTTCTTCGAAACAGAACTTCTCGCTGCAAAACTGTCTTTCTGTTCGATCCTATCAAAAAAGAAATACTCAAAATGCAGCAATTCTTAACAATCACTTCCGTGCTTGTTCGATTTAAAAAAAAATTTCGAATCTACCAATTTTCTAACCCCGCGATCTTCGAACTAAACAAACCTCACTAGAAAAAAAAAACGAACGAATTATACAATATCGTAAATGATTTTAACCCCCTTTCTCTCACGGCACACGTAAACCAATGACTAAAATTCTACTGCCCACCAAAAGACCATTTTACATCGTTCCTCTGATTCGACAAACGTGAAAGTTTACAATTTCATACCGATTTAAAAAAAAAAAAATATTTCTCCTCGTTACTTTCTCGACATTTCCCAACTTGCGTTAGAAAGATCTGGACCTGTCGCGGCGCACCGATTAAAAAGCAGGCGGAATATACGTGTCTTAGAGGAAGCAACGGGTCGATGTGGACGGACGTGAAGCCGAAGGGGGGCCAGAACCAGCCAGACAGGCGCGTATAACGCACAAGCCTGTACAAAAGATGCAGGGAGATTGTGGTGGTGGTGGCAGGATGGGGGACAACGAACAATTCATGGTCCTCGGTAACCGGTATATAAAAGCACATGCTACGTCAACGGGAGGAGACATTCTCAGCGAGTAATCGGGCCGGTGATGACCGAGCCGTAAGGTCATCCAGTTACAACCTGGAGTGTAACAAGCTTCTCCAACGCTGCATCCTCTATGTGAATTCTCTCTCTCTCTCTCTCTCTCTCTTTCTATGCTCTCTCTCACTTCCTTCCTCTATCACACACACACTCTCTCTCTATCTCTGTCTGAACTTTTCTCTACGTCAAACGACATAACCGAACGGATAAACCAATGCTACAATACAATCGACGAAAAATTGTTCATGTGCTCGTGAATAAACGTGAAACATACCGCGCATAATATCACGTAAAGAGAATAACGAGTTTTCAACGAGATCGAGCAAACGAAGAGTTCTCCAAGTGAAGATAACGCACGCAAAGGAAGATCGAGGATTTCTTTAGAGGAGGAGGAGGAGGAGGAGGAGGAAACGGTTGTTGAAAAAGAAGAAGAGGAAGAAGGAGAAGGAGGAGGAAAAAAGGTAGTGTGCCGTTGCGATTGGACTGACAGAAAGTGTAGAGATAAGGGGACAACGTAAATAAGCAGAAGGAAGAACTCACTGTGGAGAACAGATTCGTGGAGGATCTCCGACTGGTGAAACGAGAACTCTTTCTGTCTCTCTGTATAACGCGCGAGGAGTATAACGCGATCCAGGGAAGAGTGAAAGTTCCCCTAAATTCGAGCGTGTTTCGAGTGTGCTGGGTTACGATAACGTGGACCTGTTGACCAGGGTTTAGTCGAGAGTCTATCGTTGGATCACCGTGGGACGCTGAAAGTACCAGAGAGACGAGTAGTGAGGAAGGTCAGGATCTGAGGTGAGCGAACGAAAATCTTGCAGAAATTTCTTTTCTTTTTGTCTACGCTGTGATTTGCCGAAGAAGAAAGATTCTTTTTTTCACTAAGTTTAAATCTTCGGGTTTTTTTTCTTCCGATTGTCAAAAGTGTCGTTGTGGAAAGTGAAAGTTGACGATCTTTTCTGAGAGATTCCGTAGCAGTTTCTTGTCTCCTTTTGAACGTTTCTTTTCTTTTTGTCGTCGAGTGTAGAAAGATAATTCGAACGATGAGAAATATGTTGATTTGAGAGTTTTTCATATCTCACTGTCGATCGCTCTCAATTCGAAGAAATAATAACGATCTCTTCAACGAGTTGTAAACCAGGCCTGGGTCACGACGCGTAAAACGCTAATCTTCCCCTTTCGGTGTAATTGTTATTACATGCCCCGCGTCGTACAAACGTTCAACGTTCTTCGAGCTTTATTCGAAAACGAGTATCTTCGTAAGTCGTGGAAGATACGTGAAAAAATATTCGATTGATTGTTTCGCGTCAAATTTCTGTGCATCTAAGAAAAATTCAAGAAAAGAATTTCTACTCGCACAGAAAGTATTTTGTAATTTAACCGACTCGTAAAACACTTCACCATTGAAAAATTGAAGAATCTTTTCTTTCGAAACGTTGTTCAATTTTCGTTTGAAAATTTAGTGAGAAAAATTTCCAAAAATACAACAGAAAAAAGTTATTGAATTTTTTAAATGGTAAAGAAACTTACGATTACGGCTAAAGTGTGAAAGAAAGTCTAATTTCAACTTTCATTTACCAAACAAACAACGCATAAATCGGTAAAAATGTGTTATATTCCAGATTGAATATTTTTTCTTTTCGAGTCGTAATTTGTCGATAACACTTCAAATTTTCTTCGAATTCGGTAAACGTTCTAATTACTTCTGAACGAAGCAGCTGAAGGCACGTCTTTCGATAGCGATCTACACGATCGAGCCGCGGAACACTTTCAACTTTCAATACCTGGAACGCGCGGGACTTTTCACTTCTTTCGAACTGTTACAAAATATACGAGCGTTATGTAAAAGTTTCACGCGTCCGTTTACAACATTGTTGCGTGCACTAGGAACGATCGTAAAGAACCGACAGGTGGTTTCTGTCGATGGATTTTTATCGTTCACTACCACTTTGCAGAGATAAAGATCGAGCAATGACGCACCGGTGCGTGTAAGAACGAGTGACAAACTTTCGGCCCTGCGGTAAATCTGGTCAATTTTTTTCCTTTCTCGTCGTTGGTGTTTTTAAAGTCTAACAGAGCTCGGTGGAATTTTTGCTGCAAGTGTCCACGAGATGGTCCGTAAATCGGTTTACGTTTCAAAAATTGAACAGCTCTTATTCTACCATAGGGTAATTCCGGGAGAGACGGACCAGGCAAGTATTTCCTACATTATCCGCCAGATATGGAAGAGCCACTTTTCGTAAAACAAATGTAAAACAAAAGAATGCCGACGCGTTCCACGTACGGCGGACAATGTGGGAAATACTTGCCTGGTCCGTCTCTCCCGGAATTACCCTATTTTTGGAAATTTCGCGAAATTTTAAGAGGTTGCAGAGAAAACTTTGAAAAGTTAGTAAACGAAATCTTAAAAGGCTAGAAACAGAATTTTGAAAAAGTTGAAAAGAGAATTTTGAAAAGGTGAAAACAGAGTCTTGAAAAGTTAAAGTATGCAATATGAAAATATAACACAGAAAAAGATTATAAATACAACACAAAGAAAGTTATTTCATTTTTAAATGGCGAAGCGACTTACAGACCATTCTGTCGAATTTTCTGCAACTTCTGCGACGAAAATTGAATACGTGAAAGTTACTAAAAAAAAAATCCACTTTACCTGCGGTTAATTTGCGAACGAACGGTGAACAGCTCGTTTCGATAAGAGTCTAGCGAACGTTGATACCGTGCAATAGGTCGGAAGGCAACCGTGTTCGACAGCAGCGGGTTAGTAAACCTCGTGATGCACGCCAGGAGAAAGTTTTAACGAGCTGCGGCACGGTACACCTTGCAATATTGTCTCGATGCAACCTGTTCGACGATTTATCGCGGAAATTTTTCCGCGACTTGTCCCAACGTCGCTGCTGTTTCTGCAACTTTCTCGTGAGGAACGGTTCAACACCGGGAGAACGTTCAAATCGATCACAGTTTCATTTCGGGGGTAAAATGGACGGAATTGTGAATTTACGCGGAACTTTTAATTTAGAAAATGAACGAACTTCGAATTACATTCGTCATTTCGACACAATTTACACCGTAAAAGTATTTATTTATGGGAAAAAAGAAAATGCTGGAAGAACAGAAACTAAAGCTTAGAAAAAATGGAGAAAAAGGATCGAATAATGAGTTATGTTACCGAAACATTTGAAAAATTGAATGTACGCGGCGAGAAGAAAGATGAAGTTTTGCGAAGGAAGGTGAAAAAACTGTCCTTGTTCCATATATTAATCGATGAAAAAACTATGAAATATGGTTAACAAGTGTCAAAACACTTTCCCTTGAGACGTTAAATAAGATTCGTTCTGTCCTTTCATCTCGAGTGACCGACAGATCGAGACTGGAAGCGTCGTTTCACCAAATTGATCGGGCGAAGGCCGATCGAGACAGTTCACGTTTTCACTTTACGAAATGTATCGTATACAGGGTGTTTCAAAAAAAAAAAATTGTATCATTTACAGAGAATATTTGTTTATACAATTCGTTTTTCTTTTGCAAAGGAGGAACGAATTGGTTTGAATTCGTACCACAATCGAAGATTCGAAGATTCTCTTCTTTTCTCGATTCCAGAGATTCTTTTTATATTTGATATTTCACACAGTATACAGGGTGCTTCAGAAATACGTTAACATTACGTTTATATATACAGGGTGTCCCAGGTTTTAATGGGCAAAGGTTGTCGGTATATTCCATGGGTCGGGATAAAAGAAAAATGTTATACAAACGTAAGACTTTTAGAGCTTCGTTAAAAGAGTTACGGCAATGATACTGTCGAATCCTCACCCCTTTGTCCCTTGACTCCCATGCATCCAGATCCTTATCCCAGGTACCGTTTTGACCACTACCTGCGCGTTTTCCACAATCCCACCGAACTCCTGTCTTATCTCCGGCAGACCTTCAAGCTGATGCACTCTACCCACTCTACGGGCGCTGTGATTGGCCAGTGTTTTTCGTTAATAATTCGAAAACGATGCTTCAAACTACATTTTGGAAAAGGAAAAAGTTGCTCAGAGTCACCACAGCAACCCTCCATTTCCGGATCTTCGAAGAGTTACGGGACACCCTGTATAAACTGCGAAGAGAGGCGACACGACTTATGGGATGACCTGATATAATGTACGGTACGAAATAAAGAAGAAAATCAAAGAGGAGAAAAGGAAAAAGGAAAATAAATGAAATAAAATGAGAAAATAGAGAGAGAACAGAATAACACGCAAGACAAAATGTAAATTAAGGATTAGGTTGTTGCGATGTAATACGCAACGAAGCTCTACTACGACCCATAGAACACGCCGACAACGTTTGGCCATTGAAACCTGGGACACCCTGTATATTTATCTGAGAGACAATTTGTCAAAAATGTGTCGACAACGATAGCGAAGACTTGTCAAAAAGCGAGACACGTTACTTCAGTTTCTCGAAAAGAAGTTACTTGAAATTTTTGCGAAACACCCTGTAGAATGAGTGAACGGTGCACCGTTTCCTTTGCTTTCGCCCAGCTAGAACGGAAGATAATATCTGATAACGTTCTCTTCTAAATCGAGGAAAAGCTTTCATGTAAGATTGCAAAAAAGGTCGCGTGATTAGTACATAACTGAGATCCGACACGATTCCACGTGAGACGAAATTGTGAAAGACAGTTTACGACTTGTACGATTCCCTTTTACTCGCTTGAAAATAGACAAACGCAGACGCGGAATAATTGGAACGGTAACTATAACAGACAGCGGAAGAAAGGTTAAGTTACGCGAGGAACGCGCCATTTTCTTTTTCTCGATCGCTCGAATCCATCAGTTGAGAAGGTTCTTTGATACACAGGGTGTCCCGTAAAAAGTGTAACACCCTTTTTCCTTGACCAAAATGTTGTTTGAAGCTTCGTTTTTGAATTATTAACGAAAAACACTGGCCAATCAGAGCACGCGTAGAACCCCCTGAAGCCGTGACCATTAATTCTTTTACACCCTGTACAAATTAATGTAACTAATGGTAACACGTCCCCGCGAATTATGAATTATGTATTATATTCTGAACGCTTATACACCCTATGTACACTAACGGGACTTGATCCCGTTTCTAATAAAATAATAATGATAAAAATTCAGCGCAAAAAATTGGATACTGGAACCCTACAATTTTTCTCTTACTATTATTCGAAATAACGCTGATATTCAAGGTGAAGAATGTTTGTGTAACACTCTGTATAGAGGACTAATAAACACATTTATTTCCCTGGACTTGACGATACAAAAGCAGCAGTTTAACGTCGTCAATAGACACGTTACGATTTTCTAACTGGCAAATTAAAGTTCTATCTACGTGGCTAATTTGAATATTCCTGATGGGCAAACTGTTCTGAATCCACAGATGGGTACTATTCTACAGCAGTCGGTCTTAAAAGGCCGGCAGACCAGCCTCGGAAAGGAGAAGGATCTGCTTCATAAATTATTCGTCGAGGCGGTGGCAAATTATTCCAGTCAGCTGGCGATCCGTTACGAAGGTATCGTCGTTGTTTCTCGTTAACTGTGTTTTTCGGAGGAGAGAGGGAAAAACAGAAAGAACGAACAAAAAAATGGAAGACGTTACGCGTTAAAATCTGCCGTAGCGAAAGGGTTAACCCCTTGCGGTCCAAACAGTCCAGTTGTTCTGCAACTATCTTTAGGTTTGGTCACTATCGGGTAGTGCCGATATTTCAGCGTAATATTAGTTAGAAAATACTGAGTTTCGGTATAATATTAGGTCGTTGCATATGAAACGGCGGATTCATTAATGAAACTTTAAACCTCAATAACGCAGTCAAAACTGAACTTTATTTATCAAAAGAAATTCTAACAGATTCGACACACTTTTGCCAACGAATTATAAATGATTTTAGTCTATTATTACACAAATCTGAATATTGGTAACAAATTCCAGAAATGCATTCTTAACCTCTTCAGGGACACCGACACATATGTGTACCTTTAAACTTTCTGAAAATTCCAATATTCGCGATAGAGAAAATATGAAAAACACAATCTCCAAAAATCTCCTAAGGAAAGTAGTTTAATTGCTATCGATTTAACGTGAATAAAAATGTACCTACATAAAATATTAGATCGATATTTTCTAATTTTAAAGAAAATCGTCCCTGAAGAGGTTAACAGTGGCTCGTTGTTGAATATCCTTCCTGTTACAAAATCATCTAAATGCTTAAACCAACGTTGTGTTGTTCTTTTCGCTAGCTGTTCCTATCTCGAATACAGTATGTATGTATTAACATTTCATAGTGCCTCTACTGCACCATGTCCCAGTTTAAATTCGTAAAAGATAATCACCGAAATCTGATTAGAATCTATTTTTTACGTTTAATATAACCTTAATCTTTGTCAGCGAAACAAGCGTTGCATTTAAAACAGTACACTGTAGGTTTCACTTTTTCATATGACAATCACCGTGATTCTAATTTATAAAAACAAAATGGAATCTGCCAGCATGCGAACACCGCCATTTCGTATATGCAACGACTTAATATTAATGCATTAAAAAAATGATTTACTATCATTTATCGTTATACGATATCTGAAGGTTTGCCTTTATTTCAATATTTCAGCGTAATATTATTTACAAAATATTAAGTTTCACTATAATATTAATGCGTAAAAAATGGTTCATTATCGTTCACAATTTACAATTTATCATTGTATGATCACTAGGGGTGTGCGAGAACTTGAAAATGTCGGGAACCCGATGCTCGGGTCGGGTCGGGTCCCGAAAGTATCTCAGAATTCGAGAATTTCGGGATTCTCGAGAATTATAAAATTATAAGAAATAGAACATGGAACGAAAATGGTAAGCAAATATGTGATAGATATGATTTATTTCATATTTTCATATAGAAAAGCTAGTTTTACAACGTTCTCCGATAATAGTTTCGTCCTACTTTCGGGAATCCTGAAATTTTCGAGAATTCCGACAATCTCGAATCACGAGATACTTTCGGGAACCCGACCGAATCCCGAGATAAATTCTCGACCCGATCCGACCCGACATTTTTGGGTTCTCGCACACCCCTGGTTAACACACTCGTAACAGTACGATACAAAAATTTCATAATTCCTCGATAAATAAATTATCGAGCGTTCGAAGTATTTGCTACGAAAACGACGAGTTAACTCGTCTTAAACAATCGACAAACTAATCGATCGATGTAAACGATTCGTTTTATATTTCATCGAACACACACAGACGACAACGGGGAGGAATTTACAATTTCGTACGAGGAATTGAACGAGCTGACGAACAAATTGGCCAGAGTATTCCAGAAATGGGAGAAATCAGAGGATACGTCGAAAAATATCGTCGCTGTGTGCCTGAAACCGTCGCATCGCTTGCCCACAGTACTGGTGGCCATCTTGAAAGCTGGAATGGCATATCTACCCCTGGACGCGGAATTCCCGATGGCCAGGATGAAACACGTTCTGCAAGAAGCGAAACCTTTCGCCGTGGTAGTCGAGGAAACAGGTAAAACTTCACCCTTTCGTTGCTCTTCCTTTTTGCACCTGACTGATCGGCGGCTAATTTGCAAACCGGTTTTCGCATACCTTCGATGCTACCGTGAAACGATTTCACGTCTTTCATTGAATATTCGATTTAATTAAAAGTTCGAAGAACTTTAACCCTTTGAAACCTGATTCTTTTCTTCACTTTCGTTTGAGTGTGAATATTAAAAAAAAAAAAGAAGAAAATCTACCGAGATTAGTTACTGGAAATTTTCGTAGACACTTTAACCCTTTTGAAACTTGAGCTATTCCTTGACTTTCAATTGGGAGCCTTTTCAATTCTACCGAGTTTAGTTATTTATGAATTTTTATGTACAGACTGATACTTCAGATTTAAAGCATCAAAAGTGTTCGTACGGAACACCCAAGGTTCAAGTAGTTGGAACATTCTGATAGATATCTTTCAACTACTTAAGCACACTTCGTTCAACTTTTCCTTCTACTTCGTTTAAGGTTTGAAAGCATATAATTCCGAAACCGGTTTAAATATTCTCGAATTCTCCTCACTGTTTTTCGTTTACCCGTAAACTGGTTTCACTTTCTTAAAAATATCCCAATTTAACCTTACACACACTCGACACCCACGTCTTTCGTTTCAGAGCGTGTCCGAATGTGTCGAATAAGCTGAAGAAGAGATTAACCTAAATTTCTCGCTGTTTTCGGCAACAAATCGTGTCAATCCTCGTTTTTAGCGTTTTCTCCGATAATTTTCAACAATTGGAAAAATATTCGCGACGAAGAAAAGGACAAAAGAAGGATTCGAGTTAAGAGATACGGTGGAACGTGTTGCACGCTGAAATGGTGTTTCCTTCGATCAGTAAACGGAAGGACCTTGCCGCCTATACAGGTCGTCGCGCTCGATTTAAGGTCGAGATACATTGTAGACCGATGAAGTGAACCCCCGCTCCTACAGACTCTCGATTTTCTAACTTCCATATAGGCAGCATAACTTCCTGAATTTTTCTCACGGTTTGTTTCATTAACATTCGCTGTATTGGATTAATCTGTTCGCTCGAGGGACGCATGAAAATTCAATACTCAATTAGTGCCAGCGAGAAGTGAGTCAGGATCGATTAGGAGGAAGCGGTAATTTATCGACGATCGATCCTCAGGGTTTTCGATTTTATTCTGTGGATCAGGTGGCGGAAGGGATATAATAATCTTTGCTTCACACATATAATATTAACATAAACATTATTTATTTAAGAAGAATATATATATTGAATACGCATTGTCTTTCTGGAAACACTCTTGTACGCACCAAGAAGAACATGAACAACAGGGAAACTCGATATCCATCGATGTTCTTATAGGAAAAATCCCTAGAACCAGGATCGCTCTCTAGTATACTCTTTCGTCAATTAAAACAACGTTTTAATCGTTTAAAAAATGAAATTTTTCTTCCAGCGAAATTCAAGCTTTAACCTTGACATACGGTAAAACAGATTATTTACTTTTTCTTATTTTCTGTTTTTCTTCATTTCTCAGCGGATTCGACGATTTGCGAAGGTACAGAGACCGTCACTTATGAGCAATTGCTGAAACAATGTGAGAACGAGGAGAAGGGGAATTTGATCAGCGACGAGGAGCCTGAACAGACCGCCATTGTTATGTACACTTCCGGAAGTACTGGCACACCAAAAGGTAAGTTACCGACTGAGTGAAGCAGTTTAATGTCTTTATTTCTATTTCTTTTTTATTTATATTTATATTCCTTTTTTTTTTTAGTTTAACGATAATTTCTATACTTTATATTAAATAGATATTATTAGAGTGAGTATGTTTGTGCAATTATAGATGTAATTGAAAAAAAATGTTAACACTTATACGGGAGTAACTTGTATCATATTCACAAATATATTTTGTGATTAGAAAACGGTTTCCATTTGCCTCCATAATTGTACAAATTCTCCGTATAAGTGTTAACCTATTTTTCAAGCACCCGGTATACTGTAAAATATAGACTATAAAAACAATCTTTAGAAACCGAAAAGAAGAGAAAAGCATACAAAACTATCGTAATTCTCTCTTCTTACTTTTGACGTCACAATGATTTCTTTCCTTTTTTTCTTCATCGACAATCACAGGAGTGCTTCTGCCACACGCTACGGTGTTGAATCGTTTGCAGTGGCAATGGCGAGAATTGCCATACGCGGCCGACGAAGAGCACTGTGTGTTTAAAACGTCTCTGACGTTTATCGACAGTGTCTCTGAAATTTGGGGACCGCTGTTGCAGGGCCGTACACTGGTGATAGTGTCGAAACACGTGACCAGGGATCCGGAGAAATTTGTCGCGGTACTGGAGAAGTACGATGTAAGACAATACTGCTGTTAATTCAAGTATGACTCTTTTTTTTTGAAATTTTCAACACGACAAAATTGTGAAGATGATGGTAAATTTAGGTGTTAAAATTTTCGATATTTGTTTTACACAGGGGAACCCCCTTTTCTTCTTTTCAAATTCGCAAAATTTCTGCTAATTGAAAATTTCTTCGATATTTTAAATTTTTCTAACTGAAAAGTTTTTTCTTCGATTCTGCAAAATTTGTAATTCTTGTCGCCATCTAGTCTGAGAGATCGATAAAAAATAAAACGCGAGACAGAGGTAGACATTAGAAAGTTGTAACGTTCGAATATTAACATTCCACACTCGGTGAACCGAATTTTCTTGTGATCGATTTCAGATACAACGATTGGTACTGGTCCCGTCTCTATTACAGTCGATGCTTATGTACCTGAGCCTACGGGTAAGCAACACACCAACTATTGCAACAGATAATTGCATTCTCGTAGATCGTGGACCGTAGATAACCTATGAATTAGACGCCTCAATTAGATACTACAAAACGTATCGTTTAAAAAGTCCTCCGTCTGAGATCAACACTCTAGATACGTACATCTCTTTCGAAAAGATAATCTCTTCGTGATTTGATGGATCAGATACCGCCGTTCTCGTGCACGCAACATTATCCGCGATATCTTGAAATCTGAATAATTTACTTTAACGCTTTGTTTCCATTCTCTAGGAAAAATTCGTAAAAGAAATTTCAGATGGTAGAATTAGACTCAGGGGTTCCCAAAGTTTCGCCTAGGTGGGCCAAATTGTAAATTCGAAAATATTTGGCGGGCCATTAAGACAATTAAGACTATTGACCGTTAAGACAATAAAAAATAGGTGTACAATCTATGTAATAACAAGATGTATGTAGGTATAAAATTTAGTATTTTTTTAACTGAACAATTTTTAATTATAATATGATAAAATTTATTTATTTTTTTGTAAAAATGTAAATTATCTCTGGAAATTCAAGATCGCGGCTGATCTGCCATCGCGGGCCGCACTTTGAGAACCCCTGAATTAAACGAATCACCCTGTATATTCTAATCAGAGTATGATCATTTTCTTAAATCGCCCCTAGATCGATCTCGTTCCACAGATGTAGATACCTACGCGATTTAAATGGCGCTAATTAGTCGGTAATTGGGTAATAGGTAATCTCTGAAAACACGTTTGCAGAACAAGGACAACGCGCTACGTTCACTGAGACTTTGGGTTTGTTCAGGGGAAACGTTACCAGTTTCTCTAGCGGACCAATTCTTCG